CAGCTTTTTCTTTCTCTATTAAACTGTCTTTATCTCAACCCATGAGTTTTTGTAGCTTTTACCCTTCTGATTCGCTCCCCCATCCCTTTGGTGGGGGAGTGAGTGAGTGGCTGTGTGGTTCTTGGCTGCTGCTGGGGTTAAACCACGACAGACAGTCAGTACATAGTGTCACATGCAATATTCTGCACCATGACATAACCCATCTTATCCCTGCAATGACTTAATAACTGGTTTGGATTCCATTATCAGGGTTAAACCACCTAACTAAAAACATCTTTCTCAAAACCAAACAAGAGTAATTACACAGGGAATTGACAATTAATTGATTTGTAACCATAATTATGAATTTACCATATGCTTGGATTCCTGTATTGAGTATATATTAAGTCCAGCATTATGCAGTGGTATCAATAATTAATGTTGTACATTATCCCTGCATGCCATTCCTCTTAATTACATTCTTTAGAGATCAACCTAAATGACCAAGACATGAGCACCAATACAAGTTCTAGACTGCCCCTAGCAAAGGCTGATCAACTGCTGGGGGAATAGAGAACATACAGACAGTCCAGGACACTTTGCACAGCAGAATGCAAAACAGAAAATACAGGTAAAGCCGTGCAGGCAACTATGGGCATCACAGCAAGAAAGAAGAAGAAAATCTGTATATGACCTTGTGTATACACAATGTGATAAATACGTTTTTGTAGGTAAGACAGGGAAAATTTCAGAAAATCTGATCTCCTTCTTCCGCATTACACGTCAATTTTTATTCTTAATCGTACATATATGATATATCTCAATCTATTCTATTTCTTATTAGCGTTATGGCACTATGATCATGTATGGCCATAGAAGATTTTTCATATTAGATCTTGATTCTTCCTACAGTAAGAGTTTTTCTGAAAAAAACCTCACAACAAAATGGTCAAGCTTAAAAAAAGAATGAGAAATGGAAAGAGCTGAAGAGATGAAAAACTGAACATTTTGGATGATAGCTGTATTTCTAATCTCAGTACACCATTGGGCTAGTATGATGCAAAAAACATGAAAGCATTGTGTTAGTAGTCAGCTGAGCAGCAGTAGCTGAAGTAGTTAATGCCCACTCCCTGCTTCTGTCTCCTGCCAACATCAGTATTTTTTCTGAGAAATCCTTTTGCCAAAGGGTATGAGCCAACTCCTCTGGTCTCATAAGACTATTTTTCCATTGTTGTGATCAACAGGCTCTTCTCTGTGCCTGTGGACTTAATCCTTCTTGAACTTGTTTGACTTAATCCTTCTTGAGCCTAGTGTGCCCAGTATCCCAAGCAATGTCTTCATTAAATAGCACTAGATCTCTCTGTTCCCAGTCACCCAGAAATATTTTGCGTGTCATTACATCCTTGTATTAAATTTTGCTTTTTCTTGCTCATTCACTGATGGCTTTTAGTTCTGTGACCAACTGTTACATTTTGAGCAAGTTTTGGAATAGGTAAAAAATGTATAGTATCTCTAAGCAATCGCTATCCTTGCCTTTCTATCTAGTCCATTGCATCATCAAGTCCTTTATGTACAATATATAAATGCTGTGCTAATCAATCTTCCCATCTTTGGTCATTTCTGGGTTTGTTATTTAAAACCATAGAATCACAGAATGATAGAATGATAAAGGGTTGGAATGGACCTTGAAGATCATCTAGTCCCAACCCTGCCAGCCATGGGCAGAGACATCTCCCACTAGACCAGGCTTTATCCAATCTGACTTGGAACACTGCCAGGGCTGGAGCATCCATAACCTCCCTGGGCAACCTGTTCCAGTGGATCAGTAAATCAGCAATGGGATTATTTGCCTCAGTAGTACCAAAAAGAGAAAAATGATGGCAGAAACTATTCACAAATAACCTTGAGCTCTGTCTTGTCACTACTATATATAGAGGTTTTATTTCCATCATAAAGGGAGGCATGATGTGGAATGGGGCATGTGTAATCAATTACTCATTCAACACTTTTTGTGGAGAAAAACAGATCTAAGTCTGGAGCAAGAGTTTTCATTGCATGTACTTTTTTCAATGGAAGCATTGATCTCTAAACAGAACATTTAACCCTGCCAACAGTATACTTGATTTGCCTAGCTACCTCTCATGGACTGTTAGGAATAAATTGTGGATTCTCCAGGGTTCACTGACTGTACACTGAAAATCACTCCTGTTGCAAATATTTTCAAAGACCATGATCAGCCGAACTGTCTGCAGAAAGGATCTAAACAGAAGAATAAAAAGCTGCAGAACAAGTAAACACGATCAGTAAAAAGCAGAAGAAACACGACACAGACCATCAAAAATGCACATATAAAATGGAGCAAGTAAAAAAAAAATAGGAACACTTGTGCTGTGATATCAGAGCTATTCCAAGAAGGAAAAGGATGCAGCGTATGGTGGAGCTGGAGGATGCAGGCATGCCTAGTGGAAGTGGAAGTAATTTCGTTTTTCTGATATTCACTATTAGCACTTGGACTTCTTGTTTTTACATTAGGCTCTCGGCTCTGTCCCATCTGAAAGTTTTGCTGCTTTTGCTACATGATTTAGGCTGTCAATGAGAGAAGCTTTATCTTAAACTAGCTTCAGATGTGTCCTGCTTTTGTAATCTGAAAATAATATATTTTTAACACTGAAAAGTCAAATTCCTGCACTGATAAAACCAATATTCTGTCTCCTAGTGCACTCCAGGCGCTAGGGCTGCACACACTGGCATTGAGCACATGTCTGAGAAGCAACCAACTGTGCTGTTGGGATGACTGATCAAGTTTCTTTCTCTAACCCTGAATGAGTCTGTGGGTTGCATGACCTATATTTGTGGGTAACCTGTGCTCAAGCACCCAATTTTCCTTTGACACAAAGAGTGAAGAACAGAGCCTTGAGCCAGCTTATTACTTCTTTGTCAGATCTTGTAGCCTCACATGAAGGTGCCCCTTGCTTCTGGCTCCTCTGATGATGCTTGTCCTGCTATAGCTCACCAGTAGCTCTGGGGCTTCAGGCACCAAGTGGTCCCAGGGACAGTGATACCTGCAGCAGCTTTGGGGAGACCAGCAGCTGCAGTAGAGACATCACTGGGGTGACAGCAAGTACTACCTGCTTTAAATTACTCTTCAGAGAATGCTCTTAGTTTAGGTCCTTTCCGTGGTTATTTGTCATGAAAATGAGGCACCAATTTATTTGCAGCAATTACTTATAATGGGAACAATACAAGTAGCTGCATGTTTTTTCCATTTTTGTGGTGATCATGAGCTGGCTGTGGTTATTTTTAAATAGGTTTGTTGCTTCAATTAATATAAGTAAATGTGTTAAATTCTATAGTATCTGAGCAGTGTGTTGTTAGGAAATACTATGGTTTATAAAGAACAAGCTATTCAGTGACTGTCCTAACATATGGAATTGTTTTTATTCCGTTCTTCACTGACCATGGCTTTTATAATGAGAGAACGGAAGTGTGCAAGTCATTACTGGATTTACACATTAAGGACATGTTCACAAAATGAAAACAGATTTTTACACACTGAAATCTTTTTCCATATGGACCAGATTGCCCTTGCCTGAGACATTGTTCCTAAAGAACATGCATGAAACTTAAGATTTATTTTTTTTCTGTAGCATTAACACAAAAGACTAGTGTGTGCATATGTGTATATAGTCTTAAATTGTGAAGTGTGTTGCTTCCCAAAATCCATGATCATGCCCCAGAGCCCTCAGGCTCTGCCCAGATAGATTCCCAAGATGTGTGAGTCATATTCATATTTAATCAGATCAATGTTAACACCACCACCACCATGTTAGGCCTAGGTAGCAATACGGTCTTTGCTCTGCTCTGAGTAATATCTAACCTCTATTGTTAAAATAGGTATTTCAGCTCTTCTGACTACATGACATGATTCCTATTTACATCTCATGTCTTGTGTACTCACACACATTTTTAGAGTTAGTCTCTGAATAAAAATGCTGATACCCCAAAACTTTATGATTCCTAAGAAAAGATGGAGAGCCTTTCTATGGTATGCCTCTTGGACCAAGACAGAACTTCATCTTTTAGCTCATGTTTCACTAACACTTTCAGTAAACTGCAAATAGAAAGG